AAGGCCAATTGCTCGACCCGATATCGAGTTCGAGTCGGTATCGAAGCTCACAGACAAGGCCGTTACAGCCGTACTAAGGGAGAGAATCTTGGCGGGAAGTAGGGAAAAAGACAATTCATCATGAGTTCTCCACTGTATATTTTTTATTGTAAATAAAGAAAGATCATTCTACTATAAAAGGGGGAATCCATGTAAGCACAAGGGAGGTTCACACATTGTAACGAAAGATTTTTCTCATATTGAAAGATATCCCCTTATATTTATTTCACTTTATCTTATTCATTCTTCCTGCTCACTATTCTCATTCTCATAGTCAATAATACATGTATTTCTATTTCTCTATACGATTTGGATCAAATTATATCACATATCCTTAAAACCATACATAAATTTAACTCTATCTAATTTTTNGTATCGCATCATTCATGACTTCTCACATATATTGGCATATGGGCATAGTGATGCATTTTTCACTAGCTATCTGAAAAGAAAATAAAACATCTTATTTATTGTTGAAAGAATTTTTGGGAAAATTATTATTTTCAAACTTACTCATATTTTTGGTAACTTCGGTAAACGACTTGAGTTTTCACTGATACACTTGAAAGGCAGAACTATTTTCAGAAATCATGATTAAGCTGAGCAGGTTATCTTTGAGTTACTTTTTTTATTCCTTATTTTACTCAGCATACACACTTTTCTTGTTAATTAATTTATATCCCATTTTTATAGCCAAGAATCTAACATTTCCACTTCTACGTACGATTTATGTCAAGCTATATCACATATCCTTAGAACTACTTATAAATTTAACTATATCCGGCTTTCCGGGTAAACAGTTTGGCGCCCACCGTGGGGCTAAGGGTAACAATGGTTGTTTGATACAAATCTGCAATACACACCAGTTTACAACTTCAAATCAACAATGGCAAACCCTCGATTGATGGCTTTACCTATCGACCACGAAGCCGGCCTTCAAGATGAAACCAACAACTTGACACCCAGGGCTGGAAGGCGAATTAACGATGTCACCGAAGCTCGAGTCGAAGTACTGCTAGATGTCAATTCATAAGTGGCTCTTGAGGCGAACCAATGTTCCGAACCGGAAAAAAATATTCAGGGCGGTTCTCGATCCATAGCTCGAGACACCCATAATGTAGAGGAGATCGGAGTCAGCTTACGGATGATCTTCGAGATGTTACAAGCCCCGTAGAACGGAATCAGCCATAGTGAAGTCAAATTAGCAAGAATCGGGGACTACTCCCGAAATTACTAAATTGCTCGAAGAACTCACAAAACGAGTCGAAGCCAACAATAAAAAAGTATAAACATATAATTCCAGGGTCGATCAGATCCCGAGAGCTCCACCAATGATAAAAGGGTTAGATTCGAAAAAATTCATTCAAAAGCCTTTTCCCTCGAGTGCAGCCCCAAAACCAATCCCCAAAAAATTCTATATGCCCGAAATACTCAAATATAATGGAACGACCGATCCCAACAAGCACGTCACTTCTTACACGTGTGCCATCAAGGGCAACGATTTGGAAGATGATGAGATCGAATCTGTATTATTGAAAAAATTCGGTGAAACCCTGTCAAATGGGGTAATGGTATGGTATCACAATTTACCATCTAACTCTATTGATTCTTTTGTTATGCTTGCAGATTGCTTCATAAAAGCACATGTCGGAGCCATAAAGGTCGAAACCAGAAAGTCGGACATGTTCAAGGTAATACAAAAGGATAACGAGATGCTAGGGGAGTTCGTATCTCGTTTTCAAATGGAACGAATGGATCTACCACCAGTCACAGACGATTGGGTTATTCAAGCTTTCACTCAAGGTCTAAACGAACGGAGCTCGATGGCTTCACGGCTGCTGAAGCAAAATCTAATCGAGTACCCAGCTATTACTTGGACCGATGTGCACAATCGATATCAATCCAAAATAAGAGTCGAAGATGACCAGTTGACTTCTAGGACCATTACGAAAAAGCAAAAGTCGACCAGAGATCGATACCAGCCATATAGCGGAAACGATACTACTGCTGAGTATCCGAGGCCTCTTTAAAATCAACCTCGTATACTGGGGGGGCTTTATCATTGAACGCATCTGTGATGATTATCAAGTTCGGTGCAAAGGAAGTTACTTCGTTATTCATGACAAACAGTGTCTCAACAGGAAACATTGTAAGAGCCAAATGGTCAAAACGAACCATGCTTATGTAGTTGGCCCGAGCCCTGACGCAAAACATGAACACATGTATAATGACTTGCAAAGAAAGCCCTCTTCTTTACCGATATTCTATGTTCAAGATTTAATATGCAAACAGGATCGAGTTCGAGCAAGCGCTCACTCGACCATTACGCCTACGGGCTACATTATTTCGAGTTCGAATCATTCACTTGACTACTAAGCCTACGGGCTACTTTCATTTCGAGTTCGAGCAATCACTTACTCGACTATTACACCTACGGGCTACATTGCATCGAGTTCGAATCATTCACTCGACTGCTAAGCCTACGGGCTACTATTATTTCGAGTTCGATCAAGGACTCACTCGACCATTAAGCCTACAAGTTACTTTGACCATTACACCTACGGGCTACATTACTTCGAGTTCAAATCATTCACTCGACTACTAAGCCTACGGGCTACTTTTATTTTCGAGTTCGAGCAAGCGCTCACTCGACCATTATGCCTACGGGCTACATTACATCGAGTTCGAATCATTCACTCGACTGCTAAGCCTACGGGCTACTTTTATTTCGAGTTCGAGCAAGCACTCACCCGACCTTTTAGCCTACGGGCTACTTTGACCATTACGCCTACAGGCTACTTTCATTTCGAGTTCGAGAAAGCACTCACTCGACTATTACGCCTACGGGCTACATTGCATCGAGTTCGAATCATTCACTCAACTACTAAGCCTACGGGCTACTTTTATTTTGAGTTCGAGCAAGCATTCACTCGACCTTTAAGCCTACGGGCTACTTTGACCATTACGCCTACAGGCTACATTACTTCGAGTTCGAATCATTCACTCGACTACTAAGCCTAGGGGCTACTATTATTTTCGAGTTCGAGCAAGCGCTCACTCGACCATTATGCCTACGGGCTACATTACATCGAGTTCGAATCATTCATTCGACTACTAAGCCTACGGGCTACTTTCATTTCGAGTTCGAGCAAGCACTCACTAGACTACTATGCCTACGGGCTACACTGCATCGAGTTCGAATCATTCACTCGACTGCTAAGCCTACGGGCTACTTTTGTTTCGAGTTCGAGCAAGCACTCACCCGACTTTTTAGCCTACGGGCTACTTTGACCATTACACCTACAGGCTACCTTCATTTCGAGTTCGAGCAAGCACTCACTCAACTATTAAGCCTACGGGCTACATTGCATCGAGTTCGAATCATTCACTCGACTGCTAAGCCTACGGGCTACTTTTATTTCGAGTTCGAGCAAGCACTCACTCGACCTTTAAGCCTATGTGCTACTTTGACCATTATGCCCTACGGGCTACATTATTTCGAGTTCGAATTGATGTTTGGCATATTTCGATATGTGTTGATGTTACTTTACCCATGTTTTAACCGCTTCT